AACAACAGGTTTGCCACAGGTTGGGACTGGCAAAGCCGCGTGGGAGAAGCTTTCGCAGTCCTTGCCTGGATGGGCTACGGCTCTACCCGATGCTATCGCAAGTAGCAGATCCAAAAAGAAGATTAAAATAAAAAAAACAATTACTACACGTCTTAAGGTCTGGAAGATGCTACAGACTTTCACTGCTTTACTGCAGCAACTCAGAAATATTACATGGAAACATGACACTAATGCATTCCAAGCGGAGATCCCTCGTCAGCGGTGGTGCCAAAGCCAAGACAGAAAAAGCAAAAATAATAAGAACCACGTATGACAGCAATCAGAGCCATCAGAATTAGAGAAACACACGCAATTAGAAACAAGCACGAGCTTCCTACCTTCTCATTAATGACACACTTCACAGCCTCAGCGCTATTGCACCAGACTGGGTCCCTTCCTGAGCAAACATGGGTCCATTTGCAAGCTGTGTTAAGGCGCGCAGTCTCTGCTGCGATGGTTCACAAGACATGACTGGCATAATTAAGGTTAGCTTAATGGGAAGAGTCCCAGTGCATCCTCTCACGTTACCGGACACGTCCCGCCCAGCCTGGCACAGTAACGCCGCTGCCCGCAGAGAAAGCAAGCTGGTAATAAATCCGAACTGCACACGCAAATCTTAAATGGCAGTTTTCCTGCGCAGACACTCTGGGAGAGACGAGTTAATCAGTTTAAGTGAAGCTTTCCCTCAGTCTTCTCGCTGGGATTGGATTTATGAGCGTTCGGCCTTAACACCTCAGACAATGAATTAAGCGCCCGGCACTCCCTCTACATCCATTAGCAGCACAGCTTAATACCCTTTTGACCCATTCTGCTCTGCTGTTAAAACAAACTGGTTTAATTTCGCTGCGTTTTGATTATCTGGTTTGTAGCATATTTTTGTAAGTGAGCTTATACACTGGCCAGGTACCAGACACAGGCTCTTCTGGAGGTGACCTGGGCAGCGATGCAGGCACTGATACTGCACGACGGTTGGATTTTGCACGATGCCATAGGGTGGAACCATCTTACGGAGCAAGGAATCCCAGTCAAGAGTGCTGGATACCACCAGCAACCATAAATCAATCCAAACTCAGAACCTGTTAAATCTTCCTATGCACGGCCACGCACAGCCAAGGACAGGAGATGCACGGCAGGCAAAAAAAAGGCAAACGAAGGAAATAACACAGCTGCCAGAAGAACGCAGTTCTGCTGAGAGCCTCCCCATCTCCTCTCCAGAAAAGCCACGGCCTTGATGCGCGGAGGAAACCGCAGCAAGCCGTATTATTTCCCCTCTCCTCACCCAGCTCCTCTTATCACCACAGCCTGCCAGCAGCCATCCCCATTATCTCATGCCACCATCCCTGCCTCGCGACCGCAGCCATCCCTCGGAAACCTCGCAGTCCCCTGCTCACCTCCACCCCAAATTAATTTCGCAAAACAGCAAAGAGTAAGACTGGGATTAACCCTCCTCCTCCATGCACAGCTGTGTTTTACTCCACCCTGCACAACCCTTACTATTAAATTCATCCTCTCTTTTGTGCCAACATGACACCTTTAATGCAACGTGCACCTTGGTTACGGAAAAATAGCAGTAAAGAATGGCAGTAAACTACGAGGTTTGGTAAATGTAATTCTGCCTGTTTGTGGGGGATGGTTTGAGCATCCAAAACCTTCTACACAGCAAGCTGCTTCACTGAGAACTTGTGTTTTTATAACTTTCTCCCCACTGAAGGTCCTCAAAACACTTCACAAACACTGGGCAGAAACAGGAGAGAAAGGAGCAATAAATACATAGATAGAAAACATTAAAAAAAGGAAGCAAGATGATGCAGAGATGGCAGATGGGTGAGCAGAAGGAAAGCAGAGGTGGTTACAAAAAGCACAGCGCCAATCCCTGTTACCTGCGGCTGATATAACCTCGGAACTCCGCAGCTGTTTAATTGCAGTGGAGCAAAAACTCAAAGCAAGGGAATTCCCGACAGAAAAATCCGTGACCCCCCGTTACCCTAAAACAGACCCGGGGCTGGCAGGTTACCGTGACGCAAGGGGGACAGCGCTGATGACGAGGTGTTTACCCTCCACGCGCCCGGAGATGTTGAAGCCACCGAGCGCTCGCAGAGTCCCACACGTAGAGGTTGTCCCTGTTACCAGCCACCAATCTGGGTGCCTCGCTGGCGGCCACGACGCGGACGGGTGGGCTTCACAGAACGTAGCAGATGGGAACCTTTACATGAGGTGGTTCCTCGCTTTCTACCAAAAATCAAGTTTTTCCCCTAAAGCAAAATCCACCTAACCTTGATTTTCTACCCCTGCTTTGGAGACAGCTTCTCTCTCAAAACCAACCTCTCAGCCCAAAACAAAAGGCGCGCCAAAGGTAGAGGTAAAGCAAGATGCTGCAAGAGGAGCATGGGGAACCAGCTCGGTGAAGGAGCCCATCCACCTCGAGGGCTGTCCGTTCAGCCATTTCTCTATCACTGACTAATATTCACTTGACTGGAAAAATACTTCATTAATTTAGACTTGGAAAAGGCTCGGGAAGCAAAAGCGATCACCACAAAATTCCGCAAACTCTGCCAGGCGCGGCCAGCGCCCCGAGAAAAGGAGTTGGCATTGCCCTGTACAGCAACGCATCGCCCCACTGATAAGCAGGTAGAAATCACGAAAAAAGCACAACTGAGCACAAAACAGTGAGAAAACCCCAGATGGACGGACATACGGACGAGAGCTGCCCCCACACCGCAGCCTGCCTCGTGTTTTGGCACGCTCGTGACAAGCGAGCCCCAAATTTGTGCCGGAGGAGGATCTTTGCTGGGGGAAACCACATGGACACGCCGTTCAGTCCCCGCACATGTAAGAAAAAATGGGGGAAAAAACCTCAATCTGCCCCAGACTGCGGGCAGGAATTTGATATGATAAAATAAACCCTTTTCCGAACATTTCTGCCTTGTTCCCTGGGGTCTGAGGGGACCCTGGGCCACCACCTTCCCCGCTCTGCAACTCCCATTCCTCGCGCTCCAAGTCCTTCCTTATTAAAACACCAAATTCCTCTGAAAACTCAATTAAAAAAAACCCAACATGTATTTTCTTCTCCTTTTCAGCTCCACCGCGGGAGGAGACCGAGCCTTTCCCAGAGGAACCCTTGTAAGACATCGAGTCGTCGGGGACCCGGAGTCCCCTCCCGAGGGGAAGAGAAGGATTTTGAGGGAAAAAGGACGCGTTTCTCCCCAAAACGAAAGGTCGGCGCGGGGAGGGACCACCCACCCCACCCCCCAATAACCCCCAACCTGCGGGATGCGGCGGGGCGGAGGCCCCGGGGGCTAAAGAGGGGACACAGACCCTGCGCGGTGGGGACACAGCCGCTCCCTGCGTGGAGGACCCCAACCCCGGGGGTGGGTGC